GTGGTGGGTGGGGGGTAGGAACGAGGCTGGGCAGCCCCTTCACACTCTTCCTTTCCCCCCTGTCCTCACATCACTGCAGGGCTCCATCCCAGGAATCTGGGCCCTAAAGCCTGGCCTGGAGGAACCCGACCAAGCTGGTCAGCTTGGCCTGGCCTCCGCTGGAAACTTACAGGCCCTTATCTTCACTGTGACTAAATTTGGATCTCAAACTCAGACACTCAGCCTGGGAATTCCTGGCGAATTCCAGCAAGGGCCAGTGGTTCTCCTTGCTTTTTGCAGAGTAGGGAGATATATTTTTTTTCCAAGTAACAGTTTAAAGGTAAAGTAACCATTGGTCATTATAGACATTTGGAAAACACGGGGAAAAGTCACCAGTACACCATCACCCAACCCCAGCCCCCCGGGGCCGCTTTGCTTCTCTTCTGTTGGTCATTCCAATGTTTGGTCGGGTTTCCGGACTGCTGGGGTTTTTTTCTTTGTACATCCATGAGATTAGAGTGTGTGTAGTTTCGTATCTTGGTCTCCCGGCATGTTTTAACCTGAAGATGCGCCCGTGTGCGAACTCTTTGCTGAGTGCCAGACACGGGCCTAGCGAGCCATCAGCATGATCTCGGGAATGCTCCCGCCCATCCTAAAGTCAGCGCTCCTGTTATGCTTGGGTTGCAGATGACAAACGGAGGCACAGAAAGCCTCAGTGTCTGGCCCAGTGTCGCGGCTCCACAGCCGTGCTGACTGGTCTGCGTGGGTATCACCGCTTGTCCGCCCTTCCTGAGACGGACGCCTGCTGTTTGCCTGCCCCGCACTCGGGCCTTGCTCCAGTTCCCTGCAGGGACTGTGACCCTCGCCCTCAGTGCCACCCCGGCAGCTACTGGGGGGAGGTGAGCGCGCATCCTGGGTCCATCTGAGCCCCCCATCTCCCTGGCCTCCGAGGGGGTTCGGGATGTTGGTCCCCGGGGGATCGCTGCAGGGCTGGCTGTGGGCGAGAACCTGCCCGGGAGCCGGGGGCAGCCCCAGAGGGCAGAGCGAGCCCCGGGGCAGCATTTCGGGTTCTGGATGTAGTTGCTCCTGAGGTGGGCTCTTGGGTTCTCCTACTGGACTTCCCAGTTACCTGAGCTTTTTAAACCCCTTAAGCCATTTTGAGTTGGGTTTCTGTCACTTGTGACCAAGAGTTCTGGTCGCCCTGGTGGGTGTGGCTTGGCTGGTTGGGTGTCTTCCTGCGCACCCGAAAGGCTGCCGGTTTGATTCCCGGTCAGGGCACATGCCTGGTTCTGGGTTTGATCCCTGCTTGGGGGTGAGCAAGAGGCAGCTGATCCATGTGTCTTTCTTACGTCGATGTTTCTCTCTCTCTCTCTATAAAAATTAAAAATAATTTATTATTTTTTTTTGAAAGAGTTCTGGTCAATGGACGTTAGGGTTGCTTACTGTTTTTTACCATTTTAAATAATGCTGCCATGAACATTTTTACAGGTAGAGCTTAATCTTTGATTAGAATTATTTCAGTATTTTTTTGTAGGAGTTGGCAAAAGAACATTGTCTGGGCTCTACAGACATTTTGCAAATTGTTTCTTCAAGGCCGGCCATGGTTCGTACCCCTCACCTCCGCTGCCCAACAGCGTATACAACCGTGATTTAAAAAACTGAGCTCTGGAGAGGCTTTCTTTTTTAACAAGCCAAAGTTGTATTTGTGTTTTTTTTAAACAGGAAACTTCCATTAATATAAAACAGATAAAAACAGACAAAAATCAAAACACACAAACACACAAAAGCACAACACACAGGACCAGTGCAAACCCTTCCCAACCCACTCACCCCAAGTTTTAAAACCTTTATCACAGCTCCCCAAAGATTAGGCTGTATTGGGGAGCTCACAGTATTGAACCAGAAGAAGAGGAGGAGCGAGGGACGTTTTCAAAAGGTCTGTACACAGGAGGGGGGGACGACACTCCACCGCTCCATCAGGGCCGTCTTGAAGCACTGCAGTGACTGTCGCGGGTCCCTGGGACGCTTTTGAAAGTTGCTTTGTTAAAAGGATAAAAAGCGCACAGACACTTTCGTAAGGCACAGGCAGCCTGTCGTACAAGTCACGTCGCGAGGGGCTTGGGAGAGACGGTGAGACAATGAAATAGGGAGAAGTACCGGCGGCCGCGTGATCCTGAGCCCGTCCCCGTCGGGGCCGGGCCGGGATGGGATCAGGTGGGCAGTTACCGCCTCTGGGTCTCCAGGGCTCCGCACGGTCCCCTTCTCACCCGCAACGGACTGCGGGTTCTCCAGGGACTTGGGGACCGATTTCCAGGGGCCACTCCCGAGGCCTGGAAGTAGGAGACAGCCATCTCCCACAGGTGTACCCGGCGGGCCCTGGGAGGGGGCATTGGGGGTTCTGCCCGCATCGCGCTGGCATCACTAAGGCTGGCGGCTTTCCAGGCACGCAGGATGCTCTGGGCCCAGAAAGCAGGTGTTCAGCCCTCGGCAACAGAATGGCCAACAAGGCCCAGCGGAATCCCCCCAAACGTCTCAGCACCCCCTTAACGTCTCTGCCTCTGACATCAGGCCCGGGGCACTGTCCTCTCAGCTCTGCCCTCCCGGCAGCCCACACCTAGGACGCATTCAGGTGCTTGTTGAAGGGCCTCGTGGGCGTGTACATGTGTTTTATCAAACCCCTCGACACTCATGACCTGCTTTCTCACTTATTCAGCAAACCTCCGACGAGTTACCTGCCACGTGCGAGCACGGATCCTGACACCAGAGGGATCAGATCCAAGTTTAGCGACCTGTCCCCCGCCCCGGCCTGCGCGCTCCCCGCAGGCTTTGCCTTCAGTCCCGTTCCCAACCCTGTGTCCAAACACAGGCCGCGTTGACCAGCGGGTGCTGACCGGCTGACAGAGCGATGCTGCAGTTNACAGAGCGATGCTGCAGTCCAGGGAGCAGCTGCTAGATCCCAGGAGACTCCTGGCTCTGGGAATAGATTAGAAAAGGGAGCTTGTTTTGACCTGGAAACAGCCCAATTTCCCTGGCAATTCAAAATGAACAGGCACAAGACCACAACACGGGCATCCTCAGTGCCCCTGACCCACTGCTGGGGGCCCCGCTCGAGGGGGGTGGCCACCAGGCATAGGAAGGTGGTAGGACAAGGCTTTCAGCGCCCTCCACAAAGTGCCTCCGCATGGGTGCCCCCGGGGAACAGGCGGGCCCGTGGGTTGGACCCAGGCTCTCACACAGTTCAACTGGGCCGGGAGAAGGCGAGCAGTGGAGAGATGAGCCTAAAGGGGGTATGGGTGGCACAGGGGCCACAGCCGGGGCTGGGACCCTCTACCCAGGCACAGGTGCCCAGGCTCTCTCCAGGGGCTGGCCGGGTAAGTTTAAAGGAAGGAAACTCAGGCAGTCTCAACCTTCCTGGAACTTGGGCCAAGTAGCAGAGAGCATGGGATCCAGCACCCCCGTCCTGGGTTTCAATCCCAGCCCTGCCACCTCATGCTCTGTCATTCTACGTCACTCACTCCCAGGACCTCAGTTTTCTCACCTGCTGAATGGAGATAATCCCATACTTCATCAATTCTAAGTAACAGTTTGTTTTCTCCACATTTCAACATCTCCAATTGGGATGAACTGTATAGCTGCCGCATCTTACAGTTAGAACTGGCAGCATTTTTTCCTTAGTGGTACATAAAATGGTGTGTTTTATGATCGGTGCTGTCTTAGACAGGACTCAGGATGGTAATAGAGCTGCCTCTCGGAATGAAGCTGTGGTGGCGACGCCCTAACCCAGTGCCAAGGCAGAGAAGCTACAAAAGAGGCCCCCTGTCCTTCCTCCTGCCTATCTCAAAACCTGAGGGCAATGCACACAGTTACCCTGTAGCCCTGAAGACATCAGTTTAGAGCATCAGGAAATGTCTGGTTTTTAGAAGATAAACACCCCCTAATTTCTCTTGGACACAGGGAGGCTATTTATAGCAACTGCAGAGCACATCAAACAGGCCACTGGCTCCTTTTGTCCCAGGTAACAGGTTGCCAGAAGCACGGCCTGGTCCACCCTGGGTCTAGGCCCTTGGTCACTGGTCTCCTGACTCCAGCTGGAAGCAGAGGAGGGGGGCAGTCATGAAGGACAAGTGCCAAGAGACAGAAGCTGACTCCCTAAGCCACTGAGACCACCAGAGCTGTGGCTGTGGCTCAGGTCAGCCGGGGGGACTGGTGCCCAGAGAACCACAGGCCCACAGGGCGATGAGTCTCTCACACGGGGCCTGTGCCCACACCCAGCACGTGGGGGGAACCAAAGGCTCTGGCTGACCAAACTCAGCGGGGCACCCAGCACTGCCTGGATTCTCAAACTCTTATCTTGGCAAACACTGGGGTTCCAAGATCTCCCCAAAAGATTCTGCTGCAAAATTAAAATGTGGGCGTGTTTCCCAAATTCATTAGGGAAAAAGAACCAATCATGGGTTCCGGCAGAAGCAAGAGTAGGGTTTCTGCAGTTGAGATCAGAAAACTGTGGCCACTTCCAGACAGAGAGGCAGGTGTTCTAAGACCTGGAACATCCCAAGGGCACCACCAACTGTCTCATGGGACTTGATATGACAAAGGCGTGGCCCAGCTGCACTCTAAGCCCCCTGACACCCGGCAAACACTTGTTATATGAATGCCTAAAGTCTGAATGTCCGCCTTTCCCTGCCTCTCTCAGCAGATGAACAGAGTAGGAATTGTAATAAGAAGGATACCTGCTTTGCAAGGTGTCTCAGGCCTTTTAGAGTGCTGTGCTGGGCCTCCCAAGAGCTCTGGCGTGGGCAGCTACTAGGCTTCCTCCTGGTCAGACTGGGGACTGAGAAACAGAGAGGCCCAGGGACTCGCCTAAAGGCACAGCACAGGACAGGGCAGACATGGAGCCCAGAACTGGGGCAAGAGGGAGGAGGGGGTGAGGGGAGGCCCAGGGTCCCAGGAAATGCCTAGCAAATAGTCCTGGGAAGGAGGACAGTCCCAAGGTCAAAATTTTATCTCAGTTATTAGTTAACATCCTAAGGATCAGTTAATATCTTGGTAATCAGCAGGGGGAAATAAGCTAAGAGTCAGAACAAAGACCAGTTGCAAAGCCCTGGTTCCTCTTGCTTTGCCAGCAGGTTGCCCTGGTGATGCCCACAGGCACGGGTAAGAAGAAGTGTGGAGAACTGTCTGTGCCTTCTGTGGCCTTTCCAACTCCAAGTGAGTCCCCGCCTCAGGGCTTCTCTCCCTTCCCCAGGAGAAGACAATTTAGCATCTTCTCGTACGTGGCAGGTGGTACAGGCCAAAAGCATCTAGGACAGGGTCAAGTGCGATGTGCTTATTATTGGGATGTCTGGGGGTGAAGAGGTGAAACACTGCCCAGAGCTCTCAGAGCTGCAGCACCCATCAAAATGCCTCTCTCTCCAGGACGGAGTTAGAAACCAAAGAAGCAAATTGTTCTTTTATGTTCTCCGCCCACCTAACCCCCAAGGAGTTGCTGCTTTGGAGCTGTAAACAATGAGCTATTTTTTCCTGCTCTTAGGAAATCTGAGTGTCCCTTTTTTATACCATCCGAGGGAGTTCTGTTCAGGTGCAGGCTTCATACATTCAAAACCAGCTGATGTCACAGCCCTAGGAAGTGAACAATTTCTAGTCTTGCTCATGTCTGGGCTCCGGATTGCACATTCCTTAGTGTAAAATAACCTAGAGCCAGGATCCTTGGATAAATACCTCTGTGTTTTCTCTCTCATTCTCTCACACATGCCCTCTCCCTTCTCGGTCTCCCTCCCTCTTCTCCCCTCCCCCTACACATACAGACACACACACACACACAAAACTCAACCCATCCCAGCAAAAGCATTGCACGGAGGACGCTGCTTCCCAGCCGAGAGGTCACCAGAGGGACGGGCGGTCTGCCAGGCAGTTCCTGAGCTTGCTTTTGGGACTGCCTTTTGGGGGCAAAGCACTTTTGAGCCAGAAGCAACCTTCGGCTGGGCTCAGACCCCCAGGGCCTCGTCTCCACGACTGTTCACGCCTTGCCCACCACTGGAGAGTGGCAGACGAGATGGCTGCTGCCCCTGGACTCGCTGGTGGCCATCCATGGTGGTTGCCCAGCCCAGAGGGGCATGAGAAAGGTGACCTTGCTCTGGCCAAGGCCCATGAGTGGGCCAGGCTACGGCCTGTAGATCTTAATGACGTCCTTGATGGGCCGCCGGCAGATGGGGCAGCAGGCGCGGGCCTGCCTCTTGAGCCGCAGGCCGCAGCTGTGGCACAGGCACATATGTCCACATGTGTAGATGACTGTGTCCACTTCACCGTCGAAGCACACCGTGCACTCGCCGTTCTTGCTGCCTGCCGGCTCCGGTGCAGCGAACACGGGGGACACCGGGGGGCTCAGCGGGGAGCTGGGGGCTGTCACTGCAGAGGGGAAAACCAGCTAGACTGAATAATGTGGTTCCCAGGTGTGTTGTGCTGGGTGCAGTCCTAAGAGGGCAAAGCTTCTATGGTAGAACCCGTGGGGGAACAACTTTGGGAAATGCCCATTTTGGGTTTTCGTCTGGGTTTTGCCTCTTTTCTTACCCTCCTACCCCCAAGCATCAGGCACCATTATCACCCTTTGGTGATAAATATCTAGATGTTTCTCCTCCCTCCAGCTTAGAGCACAGCTGAGGAAGGAGAGGATGCCGGGTGTGTGTGTGTGTGTGTGTGTGTGGCCACCCTGCTTAGCCCTGGGGAGGTGCTGACACAGCCGAAGG